CTTTATATAACCATACCTAGAACACGTTCTAGAACAAGATCAGCTGTTTGAATCTCAACTGATTGGCAAGCCCATACCTTGACCAGGAGCTGTGTGATAGCCACTTTCACACAGGTTTTTTGATAGGGATAGCGATGACCAATAGAACTTTCCTTGATGATGGAGATGTTTTATATCTGGATTCTCCAGTGTGGTAACAAGTAGTCGCATGTAGCCTGCGAACGCTTGAAATTGGGCCGCTGTGACTGAGGAAAAGAAATTCTAATTTAATATAAATTTAGATAGCTGCATGTGGCTGGTGGCTACTATATTGGGCAGTGAGGCTTTAGAGTCATTTTTACATGACTTGAGGCACAGATTTTTTTTCACCTCCCTTGAGATAGAACTGCTTTTATTTTGTTTGTTGTTGTTATACTTCACGTATTTGGTTAGACTTGTACAGAGCTGCTACTGAATTTGGTAGCAGTTTGGGGGATTCCAGTGAGCCACTAGTTGCACCTGATACACTTGGACTTGACCCAAAGCTGTTGATGGGAGGGAGACACTGAATGAAGGGCAAAGCCAGACTCAGATCCAGGTCCTGAATGAAGGGAAAGTTGCTGTTTGTCAAAGTGCTAAGGAGTCTTTGATTAATGAGCAAATTCCTAATTTTGGCTATGCAAGTAACAAGTATAGTACTGATCAATATATACTTGAAACTAGACTTTGTCTGCAAACAATTTTTGCCAATTGCATTGGGCACATAGTTTAACAACAACAACAACAAAAATTGGCAAAAAAAGATGCCTTTTTTTTTTTCAAAATATGTGCCCAGTGCAATTGGCAAAAAACAGAGGTGGACATGTGTAAATAGATTTTATATCTGATGTGTTTAAACTGACAAAATGTTGAGCATTCAATATTTATAGCGTAATATTGGGCAAAGTGATAGCATGTCAAGATGACTAAGACATGGTCCCCACTCATGAGGAGCTTGTGATCTAGAAATAGATTCATTTCTATTGCACATTAGTTGTATGAGGGGACTTCAAAAAGTTCATGGGAAAATGTCATTATTTTTTTATTCCATTTTTTCCACCATGTTTTTTGAACCCCCCAATGTGTTATATTTCAAAATTCTCATTTGATCCTTACAACAACTTTACATTAGGAAGGCATGAGTGGCTCCATTATACAGATGAGGAAATTGAGACCTGGGAAGGTTAAGTTACTAGTTACACCTGTGGTGTAGTGAATTCCTTAATGTCTTTTCTAGCCATAGTCTATGATTCCCACCAAACAACTTTTCTGCCGTGCTGGCTCTGGGTTAGGATGATGTGATTCAGCTCGGGATGTTAGCAGAGTTCACTGTAATTGTAAAATCTTGAAACTCTAGCAAAGGTATAAGATGAACCATCTCAGAAGCAGAGGAGGGATCTCACTATCATCATAGAAGAACCAGGAGTGGAATGCATCCTTTGAACCATGAGATCCCTGCACATTGAACCTCCCTGCCCCAGGTACAGAAAAGTACACCACTGGAAGAGTGGCAGAGGCGCAGCAGCAGCAGAACCAAGAACCAGAACACAAGACAGAGCACGAATTGCTGTTAAGGAACGTTGGGTTGAGCCTGGCTCATAACAACCCTATATAAGGTTTCCAAGGAGCAGCTGGTGGGTTTCAACCGCTAACCTTGTGGAACACAGTCTAGTATGTATCCTACAGCACTACATGTACAGACACTCTATCGACCCATGGAACTAGAACCAAAAGCCTGAGGCTAAGGAGTATGGTGGACTGGTGTGTCTTGTGGGCATTTATCAGCAGCCCTAAAAGAGCTTTCTAATATTGGTGGGGCATAGCTAACCAGAGGCTGTCCTGACTGGAACAGCTATGTCCTGGGCATTTCTGACTTATATTGTAAACTCTTGACTTCCCTAATAAACTCTATAACTGTGAGTATTGTCTCTGAACTCTGTGTGGCCATTGAAATGGATTCTTGAATCAACTGAGGTTCAATAGATAGAGGGTTGTGGGAGGAATGGTTGCTGCTCTATTTCTTGTACTAACACAGCTACTTAGAGAAGAGAGTCAAGGTGCAAACCCAAGCCCAAGCCAGTATAATCTCTCTCCTGGATTATTGTAATAGTCTCCTGACTAGTCTTCATCCCTGTGCTTTCACATCCTGCACTATCACAGCAACCAGAGTGATCCTTATATCAGAACTCAGATCCATCTGCTCCTGTCCGTCCTCTGCTCAAAGCCCTGCATGGCTCCCTCTCTCTCACTTAGAGGACAAGGCAAAATGGGCACACAGGCCTCCATGACCCTCTCTTATCCACCTCCTCTTACCTCTGACTTTGATGCCCACGCCTCTTTACTTCACTGACCTTCTCCACTTCAGGGCCTTTGTTCTGGCAGTTTGCTCTTTTAACAATATGCTTCCTCCAGCTATCTGAATGGTCAATTCATCACCTCCTGCAAGTCGCTAAAGAAAGGTCATCTCCATGAGACCTAGCCTAAACATATGTTCTCCCAGCCCTTACCTCACTATTTTGTCCCGTATCACTTATTACCTTCTAGTAGATTTTATCCACTACCAACTTGTCAGGGGCTCTGGTAGCTTAGTGACTACAAGTAGGGCTGCTAACCTCAAGGTCAGCAGTTCGAAACTACCAGCTGTTCTGCAGGAGAAAGATGAGGCTTTTTGCTACCATAAAGATGTATAGCCTTGGAAACCCTACACAGGGTCACAGGGCCGCTATGTGTCAGAACCGACTCCACAGCACATAACCACCACCAACAGTTTGTTGCACTGTAGTAGCTTTTGTATTTGCTGTGCTGCTGATGCTGGAAGCTTTGCCATTGGTATTTCACAAACCAGCAGTTAACTACAGTAGACAGGTTTAAGTGGAGCTTCCAGGTTAAGACAGACTAGGGGAGCATCCTGGTGATCTACTTCTGAAATCAGCCAGTGACGATTATGAATCACGACAGAATAGTTCCCAATACTGTGCTGGAACAGGCAGTACTTCATTCTATTATACAGAGGGTCACCTTGTGTAAGAGCTGCTGTGGCAGCAACTAAGAAAGCAATGATCTGTTTTATAATTATTTTGAACAAATGCATTAATCTGTTCATAAATATATTGCTAATTGCTATTGTGCTCATAAGGAACCTGTACATAGACCAAGAGGCAGTTGTTCAAACAGAATAAAGGAACACCGGATGGTTTTAAATCAGGAAAGGTGTGTGCCAGGGTTGTATTCTTTCACCACACTTATTTGCTTATATGCTGAGCAAATAATACAAGAAGTTAGGTTATTATATGAAGAAGAATGTGGCATCAAGATTGGAGGAAGATTCATTAACAACCTGTGATATGTAGGTGATACAACCTTGCTTGCTGTGAGCAAAGAGGGTTTGAAATACTTGCTAATGAAGATCAAATACCACAGTCTTCAGTATGGGTTTCACCTCAAAGTGAAGAAACTAAAATCCTCACCACAGGACCAATAAATAGTATCACTATAAATGGGGAAAAGATTTAAATTGTCAAAGACTTGCTTGAATCCACTACCAACACTCACAGAAGCAGCAGTCAAGAAATCAAACCAAGTATTGTACTAGGCGAATCTGCTGCACAAGCCCTCTTTAAAGTGTTCAAGAGCAAAGATGTCAGTTTGAGGACTAAGGTGTGTCTGACCAATGCCATGATATTTTCAATAGCTTCATATGCATTTGAAAGTTGGACAATGAATAAGGAAGAGAGAAGAATTGATGCATTTGAGTTATGTTGTTGGAGGAGAATATTTAAATTACCATGGACTGCCAGAAGAACAAGCAAATTTATGTTGGAAGAAGTACAGCCAGAATGCTCCTTAGAAGCCAGGATAGTGAGACTTTGTCTCTCATACCTTGAACATGTTATCAGGAGGGACCAGTCCCTGGAGAAGGACATCATGCTTAGTAAAGTGGAGGGTCAGTGAAAAAGAGGAAATCCCCCCCACCAAAGAGATGGATTGGCAAAGTGGCAGAAGCAGTGGGCTCAAGCTTTACGATTGTGAGGATGGCACAGGACCAGGCAGTGTTTTGTTATGTTGTGCATAGGGTCGCTATGAGTCAGAATGAACTTGATGGTACCTAGTAACAACAATCACTATTACCCCTATCCCTACACACACACCCAAGAATGTATGTTCTATATGTTGTTGTTCAATGCCATCAAGTCAGTTTCGACTCATAGTAACCCTGTATAGGGTTTCCAAGGAGAAGCTGGTGGGTTTGAACTACTGACCTTGTGATTCAAACTGACTTTGTGGTTGGGTGCTTATTCTACAGTGCCACACCAGGACTCCTATATAGACAGGGAATTTTTTTTGTTTTGTTTTCCACTTTGGGTCACTGTCATTTTCCAAACATCCACTACAGCGTCTGATGCTTAGTTGGTGTTTAGTAGATGTTTGTCAACTGAAGAAAGTGAAACTCAAGAGTGTACAGTTTCAAAGCCATTACATCACACTTCATTGTATTTTATCTTTAACAACATGCCTATGTATCTATACCTGTTGAGTGTCCTGGAGACTTTATACTGTATGACTGTGTGGAATCATATAGGAAAATCAGAGCAACACAATCACATATACATCGAGTCTGTGTCCTTTAGTTTTACGGTCACTCTGGGCTTTGCACTAATGACATTATCTTATGTGACTTCTGATAGGACAGTGAGCTTCTACAGGTGAGCCTACTGCCCCAACATTTGAAGAGGGACCTTTGCAGGCGAGTATGTATGGTGGCATCCTCTACCAGGGCAGAAATACCACGCTGGTTATTACCAGCCTTGTAGAAAACCAAGACACAAGAGAGTGAATAAGTAATGTGGTACCTTAGCTAATATATGTAGTGAGTAAGAAAGGATGTGATTTTAGGATTAAGCTACCTAGCTTTGCCATCCCACTAGCTATTCAAAATATTTAATACAAATCAAATTTCTCTTTTTGAAACACAAAACCAACAGGTTATTCTTGGAGAAGATTTAACTTCGAATTGCCCGGAAGTTATTTATGAAATTAAGGAAGAAACCCCTGTTTTCTACAAACTTGTTCCTAATCCAACGGATAATAGATACATCTATGTCACAGCTGGGAAAGAGGTAGGTGGAAATAGTAGTTATTGCTTCTGACTTATGAATAAAAATGGTTTAATTGATGTCATTATCTAATAGTGAAGCTTTTACTTTGAACTACTAAATTTAAACACTGCTTCAGGGTACCAAGAGATCCACAAGCACGGAATTGAACACCGTATTGTCAGTAAGTAAGCAAGAAATATTGCCTATTTAGACAATTTTATTATTGGCTGTATTTCCAGTGCCAAGTTTTTCAGAGGTGGGTGTGCTTGCAAATGGGCATATAATCAGCAAGGTAACTGAATTTCCACATGCATTGTGTGGCCACTGAATGGTTAGATGCATTTATGAATATACCCAATGGGACTGGGTTTGGAATTTGGGGTTAATATCAGGCCACCATCTCCTACACATTCATGAACCAAGAAATATATGGTGCTTGCTCTGCACTCTTAATTTATCTGGCTGTTTTTGTGTTTCTTCTTGCTTCTGCTTCCTGAAATGAAAATAACACCTTTTTACGTTTTATTCTCTTTACAAAGTGCTTTCACCAAGGGAAAGGGGATGGGAACAAAGTTCTATGGACTCCCTACTGACTCTATACTAGTCTCTGTTCTAAGCATGCTCTTTCTAGATGTAAAATGTTTGAGTACATGTGTATGTAAAAGAACAATGAACAATGTTCATGAAATATATGAATCATTGAATGAGATGAAGTTACTCTTGTTTTATTGATGAAGGATCTAAGACTTGGAGAGGTTGAATAACTTACGCAAGGACATACAGTTGATCCTCATTATTTGCAGATTTTGTATATGCAAATTGACCTACTTGCTAAAATTTATTTGTAATCTGCAAACACCAATACTCAAGAGATAGACGCTTTTGTGGTCATTTGCAAACATGCGCAGAGTCGCCAAATATTGGAGTTGCCTGTTGCACACATTCACAGCTAAGGTTGAACAAGGTAACCCCCTGCCTTCTTATTTAAATTTTCTTATTGTAAACAAGGGATCCTGGTGTGTGGTGTTGTGGGATAAAGCATTGGACCGACCGCAAGGTCGGTGGTTCAAATTCACCAGTCCCTCCTTGGGAACCTTTTGAGTTGGAAACTATTTGATGGCACATTAACTGTGTACAACAACAACTCTAAACAAGCATCCTTTCTGCAGTCTGTTTAATGCTGTGCTCTTCATGTTTTTGTGTTTGGGTTTGGTGATTGCGCTGTTTTAAATGGCCCTAAGCATAGTGCTGAAGTGCTGTCTGGTGTCCCTCTGTGGTCTGCCTCTTAGGAAAAATAACTGATGGACAGGTTTCACTGCGGCATGAGGTACAGTGCTGTTGGTTGCGAGTTCAATGAACCGACACGATATTAAATGACTAGGGTAATGAGTGTTAATGAATCAACACTATATCTTGAATAAGGTATCTTTTAAGCAGAAACACACATAAAACAAGGTTGTGCATTGATCAGTTTATGAAAATATTGTCACCAGAGGCTCACAGAGACCTACCCTGTATTTCCCCAGGAGTAATGATTGCTTCACTGATTGCTAATCCAGTGTTTGAAGAGACTTTATAGAGCACGTTGTTGTTGTTAAGTGCTATTGAGTTGGTTCTGACTCATAGTGACCCTGTATAGAGTTTTTAAGGAATGGCTGGTGAGTTTGAACTGCCGACCTTGCGGGGTCCAGTGCTTCATCCCACAACACCACACCAGGACTCCTTTTAAAGTGTAACTACTGCAAATCAGGTGGCATCATTGATGGCGTCAAGTATGGCGGCGGTAGTGAGGTTGGCCCAGGATCGGACATTGTTTCGTTCTGCTGTGCATGGGGTCGCTATGAGTCGGTACTGACTCGATGGCACCTGACAACAACAACAACTGCAAATAACGAGGATCAACCTTACTAGGCCTTGTCAGAACTAGAACTTAACCCTGATTCTAAAGCCTATGCCAGATAAGATCCAGTTCCAAATTTGTGAAGAACCATCCCATCTATTTGAAAATCAAAGAATGTATCAGAGACTTATATAATGGACACAACCAATGCCCTCCGCCACCACCATCGTTTATTATTTTTCTCTCATTCGGTGGACACTATGATGACATTAATCTACTTCGTGTGTTTTTAGAGTCACAGAGAAGGTATGCGAGAATTTTAAAACCTCTGGTGTTCCTAAAATAGCCACATTCTGTCCTTTACCCTTTGTACATTGACCTGGCAGTAGTTCTATGACCGACTGAGATGGTTACATCTGAATGTTAGATGCCATTGTAAACCCATCCCTCCCCATACAAAATCTTCTTGGCCACCTAACGTAATCATTTAAACACTTTTTATTATGCTTATCCCCCCAGGAATCCCATATTTGAAAGATCTTTGTCTCCTAACAAACTGTGTATATTAAGTCACCATTCCCATGCCCAGACTTTACTCATCAAAGCACATCCCAGAACTGCCAGTCAGAGCACAGGCTGTGCAGTGACCTCAACGAGCTGATCAAATTCCAGCCAAGAAACTTTGAATTTTTCTTAATCTGTGTGTTTCCCACTTGGCTTTTTGAAATATTGCAAATAACTCACCAGTCTTCATTACTACTTTTACGGAGCCTAGAACCCAGAACTCTAGACAGGGAACCACTCTGAGAGCCACCAGTGTGACCAGCAGCAGCAGATCTTCATGAACCAGAAGGTAAAAGGTTCTGGTCTCTGGTCATTCAAAGCTAGGAATCCTGAGGAAAGTTCCATACGGAGAGTGGGCATCAAAGCTGGTTACTGTTACTATCTGCATTTAGGATTACTGTGAAATCCTGTTAGTAAGAGTGGGGTTGACCCTGGGTTCATAACCCAAGGTAATCAATCCCTAGAGAGTAAACCTAAGGAACATTCTTTCCGAAACTCCTGGGAGTAGAGCAACAATTAAACGAATCCATAGAACATCCTTAGACGATCACAATATGAGTACGTGGCCATTTCCAAATAGCCACATGAAGATGCATGAGTTGATGTGAAGTAACCACTCTAGGGTGTCATTAAGTGAGAGAAGTAGGTCCAATGTACTATTTGTTATCACCTTTCTCTTACGTGAAGTGATGAGTTTACTTGTTTAAATACATTGAATAGTAGTTCTCAAAGAATGTCCTGGAGAGTCATATTCCACTAGATGTTCTGAACAAATGTGATCCCAAGACCAGATGTTATGTACTATATTAGCATATGGTGCTCAGCATATTCCAACATTCTCAGAGGCTAAGACCTCTTTAGCTTTTCAGTTGAAGGTGTCATGTTTATTGGACCATGGGACACTTTTTTCACATGACAATAACAGTCAATGCTAGGGGCTTTAAAAAATTCGTGGAAATTTTCCTTTATCATATTTAAGGATTAAGTCTGTATCAGACAACGCTACCATTGCCATTTTGCAGATTAGGAAACAAGTTTGGAAAGATTATTTGACACTTATTAAAATAGCCCAAAATTTAAAAGACAGTTTGTGAGTTGCAAGGAAATATCCACAGTCTGGTTAATGCTGGCTCCGACTCATTGTCTGCCCAGTGCATCTGTCAGAGCATTAGGAGCTAAAACATTCGAAGTCCATCGTCATCCTCCATGAAGTCAATTTAGAATTGAAGGATGCCCCTCAAGATAATCCTCGTTTTCCTCATAAACCCCTTCTAGAACTGTCAGTTTCATAACCTTTGGAAGAAGTTACTTATACTTCCTAAGGTGTACAACTTCCTGGTGTAATGATTTTCACAAGTGTCCTTCCTACTCTCTGTATGATTTTGTTTGTAGAACTGGTGCCTTGTGATGTTCAGGCCCCTCCCACTGCCCTGTTCTGAGAACACCCCCTGACTGACTGACTTAGTACCTCGGATACATGGATACCTGCTCTGTGGAATGCTGTTTACGGACAGCCAGAAGAGGCAGTTCTATGGGCAGGGGTGTGATTTCAATCCCTTCCCTAACCCCCAGCCCCACCCCTAGGCTGTTTGTTTCTTTTATTCTCCAGTGGAGGTAGTTTGAGCAAGCAAGACAGGAGCTGAGGTGATGGAGCCACCCCTGACAGAGGTGTGGTCGGGCTTCATTCCTGCTTCTCCCCATTTCCATGTCTGGTGCCAACTTTATGTTGACACTCTTGAGACAGAGCTTCTTGTATCCCCAGATGCTCATTTCCAAGGTGCTACTGATCACACATTGACTGTTAGTGTATGCAAACCAAGTGACCTGACTCCCTACAGAAATGAGTGCAGACCTGATTGCACATCAAGGTCCCTCAGAAAGATCCTGAAAATACAGATTCCTAGGTGCCATGCCCAGACTGCCTATGTGAGAGTGCCACAGGGTCAGGGAATATGTCCCTTGATGAACTCCGCAGGTGGTCTGACACAGCCGATGTATACCCTAGAACTTGAGAAGCACGGTCCCATGTAATTATGAAAGCATTAAGAGGTTTTGAGTTGATAAATATGCCCTTTTGCGGTCCTTCATCAGATACAGTGTTGTCGTTTTTCTGGTGTTGCTCATAAATCCATCTAAACTAGTATCATCTTTATTTTTAGGTTAGGAAAATTCATGTTGCAAACTGCAAAAAGCATAAATCCTGTACGGAGTGTCTAGCAGCAACAGACCCTCACTGCGGCTGGTGTCACTCGCTACAAAGGTATTTCCTGAACCCTTTCTCAACAGCTCACATTTTCGAAAAAGTCTCATGCCCGGAACATGGAACACTTGGTACGCTACCTAACAATCCATTTCAGTGAGCCAGGAAAACCGATCTCTTCACCGACTAAAATATCATTGTGCAATCCTCATTAATTCTCAAAGATGTTCACACTCAAGTCATTTCTACAAAATCCTTTGACCTGGGCCACCAGTCTTGGGAGTGGGGGGTGGGGAAGGTAGGTAGAGGAGGAAGCCAGGCTCTTGAGAGGGTCAGTTTTGCTTTTCCTTTCCAGAGTTCCGTAAGACTCAAGAGAGAGGCAAAAGGTTCTCCCTCAGAGAAGATAAAAGAATAGGCATGTTTGAAAATTTTCCCATGAATCCTCATCATGTCATGTATTCTGTTTGCTCGGTGGAAGCCTTATTATTGATGGTGTTATCTCTTGGTGGGCGGTATAGCCACGGGCTCGTTGTTCAATCCTGGTCTCCGGGCAGAATCTGCCCAACGTGGACTTGAATTACGCTGCTTGTGACCCATCTAGGCTCAGGGGCGACTTGTATCAGCTTCCTTGCAATAGCAGTTGCTAACATCGTTGGGACCGGCCTGGTTGGATTCGCTGTTACCATGGCAACCCAGTACTTGGGCTCTTGCTATAGAAGCCAGGAGAGAGAGCCTTAGCAGCAGCTCAGGCAGAAAAAGGAAGAAAAAAAAAACCCATAACAGTGTCTGTCAATTTGGTGTTTTCAGTTTTTAAAGGTGAAAAAGGATAAGAAAGAGCAGAGCAGGAGCAAGAGAAGCTGAAGGCTGAACAAGGGGCAGTTTAGGAGTGGAAAAGAAGACTAGGGAGAGAATGGGGCAATGTACAGAGGGAGGAAACGAAGCGCAATGAAGGGAGAGAGGGAAATACAATGTAACCAAGAGGCTCAAGAAACAAACTAAAAATATGGGGATGGAATGAATTCAGAGTTCATGGAGGAAGTCAAAATCGGAGAGGCAGCAAGACGCATAATTACCCTTGCCTTTTGCCTTGCTTCCTTACGGGGCTGTTTCCGTCAGAGTCACTGGCAGACAAAAGAACCAGGGCCAGGAACATTCTCATGAATAATTGTAATTGGGTAGGAACGTTTTCTTCTTGTCTCTTGCCCAAGACTAGAGTTTGAGAAATTAACTGATCATGAAAAACGCTTAATCTTTCCACACCCACTGAGCAGTTGTGCTATAATCTTTCAGATCCCCTCCATTTATGCAGGTCCCTATCTATATTTATAGGGCTGTGCAGGAGCCCTGGTGTGGCTCTATGAGATAAGCACTAGACAGCAAGGCCCGTTTGAACCGCAAGCTTGGCGGTTCAAACCCACCAGTTGCTCCTTACAAACCCCATACTGGATTGCTATGAGTTGGAACCTACTCGATAGCACTTAACAACAACAACAATATTCAGGAGTTAGTTCAGCAATAGCTGTAGTGATGATGATGGTAGTGACGGTGATAGTGATTGTTGTCGTGTGCTGTTGAATTGACTCCAGCTCGTACTAGCCCTACTGGACAGAGCAGTGTGATCTTTATGAGAAGAGATTGCCACATCTTTTACTCCCTCAAAGCAGCTGGTAGGTTCGAACTGCTGGCCTTTCGGTTAGCATCCAAGCACTTAATCACTGTGTCACCAAGATTTCTTGGTGATAGCGGTACCCATTGTCATCAGATCTAGATGTTGTTGTTGTTGTTAGGTGCCATCTAGTCAGTACTGACTCATAGTGACCCTATGCACAACAGAACGAAACACTGCCCAGTCCTGGGCCAACCTCACAATTGTTGTCACGCTTGAGTCGATCGATGCTCTACTTTGCCAATCCATCTCACTGGGGGTCTTCCTCTTCTTCTCTGACCCTCCACCTTACCAAACATGATATCCTTTTCCAGTGACTGGTCCCTCCTGACAATATGTGCGAAGTATGAGAGATGAAGTTTGGCCATCGTGGCCTCCAAGTAGCACTCTGGCTGCACTTCTTCCAAAATGGATCTATTGGTTCTTTTGGCAGCTCATGGCACTTTCAATATTCTCCTCCAACTCCATAACTCAGAAGTATCCATTCTTCTACGGTCTTCTTTATTCCTGTCCAGCTTTCGCAACCATATGAGGTTATTGGAAATACCATGGCTTGGGTCAGGCGCACCTTAGTCCTCAAGCTGACATCTTTGCTCTTCAACACTTTAAAAAGGTCTTGTGCAGAAGATTTGCCTAGTGCAATATGTCGTTTGATTTCTTGACTGCTGCTTCCATGAGTGTTGATAGTTGATCCAAGAAGAATGAAGTCCTTGACAACTTCAATCTTTTCTCCATTGATAAGAATGTCATTTATTGGTCCAGTGGTGAGGATTTTTGTTTTCTTTACGTTGAGATGCAATCCATACCAAAAGCTGTGGTCTCTGATCTTCATCAGTAAGTATTTTAAGTCCTCTTCACTTTCAGCAAGCAAGGTTGTATCATCTGTATATCGTAGGTTGTTAATGAGTCTTCCTCCAATTCTGATGCCACGTTTTTCTTCATAGAACCCAGCTTCTTGGATTATTTGCTCAGCACACAGGTTGAATAAGTATGGTGAAAGAATACCACCCTGTCACACACCTTTCTTAATTTTAAACCATCCAGTGTTCCCATGTTCTGTTCCAGCAACTGCCTCTTGGTCCATATACATGTTCCTCATGAGCACAATTAAGTGTTCCGGAATACTCAGATAGTGGTGATTAAATAGCCACATGTACCCCTCAGTGATCAGCACAGGTCTGGGTTTCATGGATAATGTCCAGGCTGGGGATATGAATTGGGAGTTGGTAACGTCTGTTGTTGATTGTTCTCCAGTCAGCTCTTATTTGTGACAACTATACATGTATAAAGCATAATGAAAAGGTATCCCGTCCTGATCGTCTGCATAGTTAAGTCCATTGTTACAGCCATTGTGTAGTGCCTTCTACCCTAGGGGGCTCAGCTTCCAGCACAATATCGTATAGTATTCTGGTATAATCCATAGCGTTTTCATTGGTTAATTTTTGGAAGTAGATCATGAGGTGTTTTTTCTTAATCTGTCTTAATCTGGAAGCTCTGCTGAAATTTATTTAGCATGGGTGATATGGTAGTGTTAAAAGGCACTTAACAACAACAACAAGATGGTACTTAAGACTAGACAAGGGAGTGTGTGTCAAATGATAAGAAAAGAAGTTTGAGAACTGAGCATTGAAGTGTTGTCATGTTTAGGAGTCAGGGATATAACAAGCAAATAGAAATGCAGAGGGAGCAACTAGAAAGAGAAGAGAAAAACTAAGAGAGGATGGTCTCTTAGTGAAGGAGCAATTCACTGCCAGATGCTGCTGAGAGGTCAAGCAAGAGAAGGAGAGAATTGGTTACTGAATTTAGCAGCTGGTCATTGTGGTGCTAAAGCCACAAAAAGCAATGGAAGAGAAGAAGACTGACTAGAGACAACTTGTTAGGGCAGCTTTGCTGAGAAAGACAGTGGAGCAGATGCTAGAGGAGAAAGTGAAGTTTTGATTTTTTAAGCTGAATGGAATGATGGTGTGTTTTTGTGTTATTGGTAAAATTCCAGCAGAGCAAGAGAAAGTGATGATGTGGGAGAGAGAAGAAAAAGTTGTGGAGTGTTGTCTTGAAGCAGAAGAGAGAGAGAGGACCTAGTGTGCCCAGTGGGGAGGGCCTCCATTTTTAGTAAGGTGGGTGTGGGGGGGTGAAGAATGCAGGCAGGTGGAAGGATGTGCAGTGCCTTTCATATTGCTTAGGACTTTTTCAGTGGCTTCAAACTCAGTGAGGGTGAAGTGGGGAGGAAGAATGAGAAGACTAATAAAGAAGAGAGAAGTATGAAATAGGAGAGTGGGAGAGAACCAATTAGGGAAGTAAAGCGTGATTGCCAGGCATTGAGTCCACTTGAGGTTGGTGGTCTTGCCTTTGATGTGAGAACAGCAGAATACAGCTTTTCTGAAGCCATGTTCAAGTCTGTTGATTTAGGCATAGAGTAGGGGAGAGTTGGATTTAACCAGAATTAGGGCTTTTTTAGAGTCCCTAGGTAGTACAAATGATTAACACATTCAACTGCTAACCAGAAGGTTGGAAGTTTGCTCTACCTAGAGGTACGTTGGAAGAAAGGTCTGGAAATCTACTTCTAAGAAATCAGCCACTGAAACCCTACGGAGTACAGTTATACCCTTACACACATAGGTTGCCAGGAGTTGGAGGCAGCATGGTGGCAACTCGCTTTTGGGGGGAACTTGCTTGGTGCTGATCTAAAATGAAATGAAACTAAACCTCAGAACTGTGACTCATGTTAAACTCCAAGTACCATTGAAAATCAGGAATTCTAAAGGGGGATGTTTTCTTATAACTGTAGAGCGTCCCACTGTGTTTATTTTAAATGTCACAGATTTATTTAGAAAAATAATTTATTTTCTTTGTTGAGAAGGTTGAGCTTCCTTTCATACGTGTCTAGAAAGTGGATAGGGTAGGGGGAGGCAAGCAAATGATCTTAACTTCCTTTTGATCGGGTGTTAAGAATAGGTATCTAGTATAAGCAGATAAAAAGCAATTAGATAAACAATGAGCTCTAAAAAGTCTAGTATTTTATTGTTGGAACCTCAAATCCAACCTGTGCTGAATTTGTCTGTGTGGGTGGAAAGTGAATTTTTGCAGGCTGAATATCTTGGGTTTGGAAGCAGCTTCTCAGTTGTTCCCATATTGCGAAGCATAGCACATGTGTTCAGTTATGGATTTCCACAAAACTGGCAATACTGCACCAATGAACGGGTGAGGTTCCAAAAGTTCATTTGCAAGTTTGTTTGGCACCCAGAATGCATTTTCCCATAGAAACAATGCCATAAATTAAGAATTGATTCACCAGCCAGCCCACAAAATTCAATTAAATAAATTTCAACAAATATTTATTGAGTGCTTACCAAGAGCCCAATATGGGAAATGAGATAGCCAGGTGCTGCTGTTGAGA